TATATTATTTAGATAAATATACTTTATTATTTTAATAGTTTTTTTGTTTCCTCTAGTATTCGTTCGTTTATGAACCTTGTTAAAAAAATGTTTGCTATATTCTGTAACATACTATAATATCGAAATAAACACAATTGTATCCAATACTAATATTTCATATTTTTTATAATATTTGAAATATACCAAATGCAAATGTATATATAAAAAATCTTAAAGATACTTTAGTTTGTTTAAGAACTTCTCTTCTTTATCGATAATAATATTTTATAGAAATATCGGAATAATTAGTTAATTGTATCCAATATTAATATTTTTTCTATTATTTAAAAATGTTCCGAGTGTAAATATATATATAATTAATCTCGTTTTGTTTAGTGATTTCTCTTCTTTATCGATTACAGTTGTACGATGAGTACTCGTATTAGTCGGTAGATTCCGCTTTGTGATTGCATTTCAGTCAAGAAATAATTCAGTTTTAAAATTAAATAATTTCATTTTCTGATAAAGAAAAATTATTTATTTTCTTTCATTTTAATTATTTTTCTCGTCTATATTTTCTCTTTATCTCTAAATTTGTTAATCAGTTGCGCATAATAATGTCTTCATGTGATATAAATATTGCACTGTTAACTTTATTTTAATAATTTTTCTTGAACTGTTGACTGTGGGGGCAACAAATTCCAAAACAACTTGACCAAAACTAAATTCAAGTCAATGATTAACTCAATCGGTTGATTAAGACAAAATTTTTAATATATTTGTTTATTATTTTTAATTTGTTTTCGATACTTTAAATATAATTCTAAACTAATTTATTAGTTTTATTCATATTACTTAATTAAAAATATGACGTTTTAATTAAGTTAATCATTTGGTGATTGAAGTCGCCCTATAGTTATTGTTGTATTTATGTGTAGAAAAGAAAAATAAAAAAAGTGAGTGTCGAGTCTAAAGCACAGCGACAATGCTAACCATACATAATGCTTAATCGTTCGGAAAGACTTCCTCGTGCTACCAACAGAAACGCGACGAAGGACGACCGAAAAATCTCCGGAGTGATCTTTTTTTGTAAGTTTCGGATTACCGAAAATATATCTCATAGCTCGGTACTTAACGCGGGTGGCCATCACGCTAGAACAGCCCTTCGCGTGATTCTCAGAAGCTTAGGGTCTATAATAATAAAAAAAAAGAAATAAAAAAAGGAGAAAGGAAAAAGAAGAAGAGAGTGATCTCGTAACAAACTGGGAAAAAAGGAAAACATCGAAGTTACGAGCAATCGTGCGAAGTAAAGGAAACGAACAGAAGATAGAGTGACGATTCTCGATTCCGAGTCGTGAGTCGTCCATGGAAAAAAGATCGACGTGCGATTATAAGAGAGATCTTCAGGATTCGAGAGAGGCGAGATGGACAATCGCCGCACAATTTATCAAGCTTTCCTGAACGACGTACCAAACGACGTCTTCAAGGGGGATTGGATCGATCGGGGAGCGAGCGACTCGACAATTACCGGAAATTACACACCGATCCCCTGTCCGGTCGAGCGACGTCATCTTACGAAAGCTCGAAAACGATTTGGATCGAGAGAGGCAAGC